GGTAGCCCATTGAACTAAAGTAGTTGATAATTGTGTACGTAGCTCTAGGTGAATAATGTTAAGATAATAAGATGTGTGCCATATCATGCAAATTCAATGATTTCAATTCAAGTTTATAAAAAGCCAAGGTTTCCCGGCCCATCCGAGACAATCATCACAAATGGATTAAATCCGATTGAATGGACCAGCAGTGCGTTGTTTGAACACATCTTTGCTGGCAGTTGTGGCAGCCTGGATGATGAGATCTGTGTTTGCTGCGTCGAGTTCCTTCTCGAGGCGATCCACCTGCCTCTGTAGGTAAGAGATGGCACCAATGCAGCCGTAGACAGGGTCTCTCACACGCGCCTCGGCCTCGTACGCAAGTGAGCACACGGCGTCCTCTCGTTGGTCCGGGAGGAGCTCTTTCAGTAGCTTCGACACATTGCTTGCCCCAAAGATTTTGTGGACATTGGCAAACTTCTGTGGCTCCTCTGGAGGGAAATATGGTGCAAAAATGCACCCTGGCAAGCATTTCCTTCTGAGGAACTTGCACGCAGCACATGGAGAGGAATATGTGCTTGATGATGATGAATCCATTTATATATATACCTTTCAGCTACGTACTGCATATACATGCGGTTAAAGAAAATACTTTACCTTATTATGTGTGAAGTTAGATGAATGTGTCAAGAATATATTCCATCGCCACTAAGACTTCTTCCTATGATTTTAACGAAAATTAACGAGAAATCTTTTTGTTTTAACTTTCCAAAAATATTCTTGATACGATTAGTATGACTTGAATGTGATAGGAAGATCAATTATTAGTGAATAGCAGTGATTGATAAATAGGGTATGAATTAGTAGAGCTAAAATAGTTTTTTAATAGAAAAAAGAAAAAGTAATTAGAGACATAGAAAAAATATAAAAAGAAAGACTTAGGGACGAGGAATACTATTTTAATCCGTAATTTATTTATTATACAAGGCCTGCTACCTCTAAGGCAACATATTGAATTTCTTAGTGCATTGGTGACTTAGGTCGTTACCTCTCACAATTAAAATACCTCATAGTAAACTTTGCTTCTGCATTGGCTAAATTAAAACACATAATTTAACGAATGATAGATATTGGGTCTGGCGATTGATTTTTACGTCATAATAGACGACCCAATTACCTATGAATACATGGGCATTAGTAGTGTATAAATTGGTTGGTGAGGGTTTACTACGCCCCCATAATAGTAATACTGTTATGTATATTGGGCTAAAGGAGGTGTTTACTATATAATGTGATTGGAGTGGAGGTGAAAAAATTGGTCAAATAATATTAATTGAGCTCATTCCTCACCATGTCTACATCAATTACACATGATTAGCCTCTAGCATTCATGTATATATAGACATTTCTTAAAAGGAGTGAGAACGGAATTCAAAAATATGTTTAGAAAAAGATTTGTGATTATTGTTCTTATTACTATTTGGGTAAATTAAAAGTTATTGTTTGGTACTTTCATAAAGGGTTGCTGAGTAAGATTCGAGAGACCTACAGTTGGTCGATAGATACAAAACAATCCAAAAAGGGCTACTACTAGTGAAACTCTACTAGAATTCCACCTTTAAGTGGAGGAAGACACATGACTGTTTAGCCTGCAGGGTTAGAGGTGGTGATAAACAATATTTCCACATTGTTGTCCATGTATGGTGGACTAGACGTGGCAAAACAGAACCGGAACAGATTACCCGAACCAAATTATCCGAAACCAAAATCGAAATGATCCGAAAAATGAAGATCCGATCTATAACCGAAAATCTGAAATGATCTGAATCGAATCGAAACCGAACAAAATAATTCATATCCGATTTTAAACCGAAACCAATTAGATCCGAAACCGATAATATCCGAACCGATTAAATCCGAAACCGATTAGATCTGAAACCGATAATATCCAAACCCGATTAGAACTAAAACAGATAAATTCGGAATTGTGTTTGCCTTTCAATAAGCATATTTTATTTTTAAATTTTTACTTTTATTTTACCACTTGAACTAATTACATTACATTCTTATTCCCTCATAAATGAATTATCATCTTGAAAAAATTACAATATATCATGCCTTAAATTTATTATATTTAGAAATTGAAGATAAGTTGTACATATAAAATTTTGGATGGATAAAGTGAGCCAACTATGTTGTTATTAACAAAACTAAAGGGAATAAAATATTTAAAAAACAAGGTGAAGCATCAATTGAAAAAAATTAGGTCTAAGAGTTGAAGGTGAATGAAAATTGAGAAATGAGTTGAATGGTGGCATAAGAAAATTGATAAAAAAAATTAAGTCTTTGATTAGATATTATATGAAAAATACAGTACTAATTATTGTCTTAAGTTGCAAAATCTAAATAAACAATCTTATTTTGAAGAAAAAACTCCCTCCATCTTAGAAAGAATGCTACATAACGCAAAACAAAGGATTTAAATAGTGAAGTGTGATATTTTTTTGGTACGAAAGGATTATATGATGAATTGTATGGAATAACTAGATTTTATCCTAATTTCATCCAATTACAATAAATTTTATTGGTTTGGGAGTTAATTTGATTAGTTTCAAACCAATTCATTCAATATTAGTCAATAACATTAAATGTTAGTGTTAGCATTTTGAAAAGACTCTCTAGCAGCAGCATTTAGTGTTATCATTTTCAAATTTGATCTACATCATTACATTTAGGTGTAAAATTAATTTTATCTAACTTCAACCAAATACACTCAAATAATTTATAAATTTTGCACTCAATTGAATAAAATTCACTTAATTTCACCCAACTTCACTCAATTTTTACCAAATTGTATTCAGTCGGAACGTAACACTATTTGAATTTATCTTTTATCTTCTATTTATAAACATAAATATATTAGTAGATGTGAAAATAATTGATATATCAAAACTAAGTTTTAAAGTCAATTTAATTATATTAAATTATATCATAATTAGAAATATATTTTTTTCCTAATTTGTAGTCCAAATTTGTAAAATATAACTAAAAAGTCAAAAACAGAAGATTATTTAGGGTAGAGATAATATAATTAGAAAAAATGTATAAAATAATATGAGGTATTGAATTGATGATAGATTGATAAATTTGATAAAACATAAAAAGAAATATGGATATTGATCTGAAACCGAAATATATCCGAACCGAACTAGATCCGAAACCGAGATATATCCGATTCAAATTGTATCTGAACTGAAATTTATCCGAACTGATTTATAACCAAACCGTATCTGAACCAACTCGAAACCGAACCGAACCAAAAAATGTATAGAACCGAATTAAGTCCGAACCGAAATTAAACCGATCCGAACCGATTATAACATATATCCGAAAGATATCCGAACTTAAAAAATCCATCCCGAAACCGATCCGGTTGACCCGATGCCACCTCTATTGTGGACAAAAGGCTAGATAATACGATCTTGGGCTTCCTTATCCACCCATCATGGGGGGCCGTGATGCTACCTTGTAGGGAGCTGGGGACATAGGGTCTCTCTCATGTCCGGCAAAACATTGGTAGGTCAGATAGAGTAGTTGCAAAGGGAGATGCAAGAGAAACTTGACTATCACATGCTCTGGGAATACAAAGAGAACCTCTGAAAGAAGAATATGGTGGTGGAGCTAGAGCAACATGACCGTGATGGCTAAACGACTTACTATATTCTAGACCCAAGATCGATAGACTTAAACCGACCATAAAATGTGGAGGTTGCAACCTAAAGCCCGGGGTACTTGAGTGGCTATCCCTTGGTAGGATACCAGTGGCAGATAGGTTGGGATCTAATCCCCAGGGATCGCTAGCTGTGAGAAAGAAACTCCAACAAAGCCATGCCAAATCTTCATGTCAAGAACTCTGGATTAGAACATCCAGCCGAGAACGGGTCCCATGGTATATGTTAACTTCGCCTATTGATGAAGATCTAGAAGTGCGAATTCAAATTAAAGGCTAATCCCTGTGAGTGATTGCATCAACCAAGGGTGTCGAAGCAGGAGCCTATCGCAATATGGTGATATCAATTAGAGGCTGTAGAGGTTGGGGTTGAGAGTATTCATGCCTAAGGGCCAGGTGTTGATGACCAGGCTATAGACTCCATTTTATTGAAAATTATGGTAAACCATCATCCACTGCATTTCAAGGTTCCACCTTTGAGAAAGTATGATGTTGAATATGACCCTTTGGGCAATTTTCCAAGCTAGTTCACTAATTTGGTATCAGTGGGTGCCTTGAATGAGTTCATCTACTTCTGTTTCCTCCAGTTAGTAGACATGAAGCTAAGGTGGCAGACAACTTTTCTCATAAACTCTGAGGGAGAGTAGACAATTGGTATGGTCTTAGTCATTGCTTCTAGAGTATTTCACAGGACTCTACAAACCCAAGAAGCGTTATTCTCACTAGGGAATTGATGGAACTTTAGTTCCACCAAATATTAATATCAGAATCGCTCTCATGAATTCCGGAATATTGAATGAATAAAGGGAGACAAGATCATTTTACTCAAAAATCGCATGAAAGACTTCCCTTTTCTCAAATGCATTGGGGGGTATTTATAGCCTCTCCCCAAGTAATTAACCTTAGCAGGGCCGGTCCTAACAATTCAATGGCCTGGGCCGAAACAAAAAAAGGCCCTAAAATCTTTATCTCTAATGGCTTAATAAATTAAAGTGTGCGAAATAATTATATTTAAATGACAATTAGCATACTAGTATCATTACAAAATTTTAAAATGACAAAATCATAGTGAGGACTTATATCTACTTACCTCATACTAATGTCTTGAAAATCTGACCAAATATTGACCTAGACAAGCTTGTAGGTCAAGATTAAAAGTGTCTATTAGTGACAAAACTTATGTTTTGTCTCAAGAAGAATAAAATACGGGTTCCAAATTAAATTAAGTGGATTTGTCAATTTTATGTCCCAAATTGGATGAAATGTTTTAGATTTTAAAGATCATAATATTTCGGAGGTAGAAATCATTGTCCGGGAGCCAATTGGGCCAATATGGAACAATTTCGGGTCCAAAATCACGAGAAACCGCAATTGGAAGCAAAATGGGTGCTGGATTCGGGTCCTAGGCGTCCAAAGTTGGACGCTCGTGGTAGTTGGATGCACAAGCAAGGCTGGATGACGCGGAATGACACGCGGCGCATCAGGATTGGACGGGCCACGTATTTCAGGTACGGGCGTCCAAAGTTGGACGCCCAAGGGGTTGGACACCCATACTCCCTGCCCTATAAATACACCGCGGGTCTCCACCATCTCACACACCATTCTCAACCCAATTTCGGGTTCCACTCTCTCAATTTCTTAAAATACTTTGTATATTAGTTTTAGTAGTAATTCTAGAGTATTTCCGGAGGATTTGACTTCCGATCTGTTCTGTTCTGCTTATACGGAAGCCGTAAGTTTTCTTATTTAATAAAATGTCGTTTTAATTTATGTTTACATAGTATGAGTTAGGGTCTGGATCTTTGGGTCTGGAATAATTTGGTTGTTTATTTTTTATGCTAAATTAATGTTGGAATGGTTAGTCTATTGTTTTTGCCTTATTTGGTTAATTAA